AAATATTGATTTTATAATTGATTTCAAACCCGACGGCCTTCGCGTATATGAAACAACTAAACAAGACCGCATATAATTTCAGTGTATCTTTAATATTGATTCCCTTTTATATTATATTGAATTTTTTAAATAAAAAAGAAAGCAAAGTTATTTGCAAGCGAGAATTTAAATCATTTTATTGCAAACTTAAAGTTTATCGATAAAGCCATTTAATTAAAGATTGTAATAGTTTTATAAAGAACACTTTAAAACGTTTTGCGAAGCGTTTGTGTTTGAATTTTACCTTAAATTGAAGTTCATATTACGCATAATAATATAACTAACATATATATGTTGGGAAATTGATAATTTTGTAATTAAAAATGATATTTTTAGGTCATTTTCATTTGTAAGAATATTCTTAAAAAATTATCGTGTTACCATGACAACTACTTTAGATACTTCATGTTCGGAAATTACAATGGTTTTGTCAGCAAAGCGAGGGTTTCTGCATGCATGTATTTTCTAGTAAATTAATATCTACGCCCCACTTGGAAAGCAGCTTCGGTTGAAGTGGTCAGCGTAGTGAAATAAAGTTTTATCCTATGTAATATATCAATATTGTGATTGACGTAATTAAAACTAAATCGTACATAAGTCTTTGTTTGTGTAAAATGCGTCAGAGTGACTCATTGTAATTTGGTAGGGTAATCAAATAGCTATTAGGCTATAGAAAGTGATTGAATGAGATTGTTGGTGTTATAGATCGTCGCGAGACAATCGGAATGTTTAACGGTCTAAAACTCATGTCGTATAGCTAAATACTATTTCTCACATAATACAATCAAATATAATAATCACAAAATATGCAGTCCCTTGAGCGTTTATTGAATGAACCAGATGGTGGAATCACAAGTTCCGCGCAACAGGGTCTATAAATTATAAATATTGCATGGAAAAACGTCATGATCTTTATATCCACTAATTTAAATGAGAATTTTTATCACAATCCTTGGGCCACTGATACGCGCAAGCACACGGCACGCATAGCCGTATAAAGTAAAACATACCTAGATTCAAGCTCATTCTGAATTATGTCATAGATAAACACCGCGAAAACATAGCTGCGCATGTGCGGAAACTACAAAGTGGCGGCAAATTTCGGTTCGCGAACATTCAAAACAGAAGCATGACTATTCAATCATTCAAAACAAATGAATTCGAATGTGGAAGAGAAAATGTAGTCGCCGGGTGGATTATATACTGCCTCGTCCCTCGTCGCTTCAGTTGGGAATAGAGATCAGTGGAAAAACAATGGGAGCGCGGTGCTTAATGGGAATGCGATAGAATCTGAAGCGACTCGGAAATCCCGCATCCAAGATGGCGTCCATTGTAAATTGTATTAATGGCCGAGATAATGCAAATAGGGAGGATTGTTCAAGGTCGTTATGTATGGCGAAGAAACGTTAAAGTATATTTCCTGTTTATTGAAGAAGGGTACGAAGGTATGTTCATTTAAATTTTACATATTTTACGCTCAAAAATGTATCAATTGTCGCAATTTATTAATATATGTGCATATTTAAAAATATCAATCTTATTTTGACTGTTGTAGTCTTAAAGTGTAGACATTGGTAAGTAGTTCTTGGTTCGACGTTTCTGGAGAAGGAACGTTATTTCCATATTTGGCCAAGCCCCGAAAGAAGTTGCCAAAATATACGGAATGTTTCTTTTGCAGTTTGCACTCTGTCAAAGTCATACTAAAGACACGTTGATCAAAATAATCCCTGTCGAATCTCAGGTAAAATATTGTTAAATTAATTTCTATTAATCAATCATTTTATAGCCTTTGCACCATGTGCAAGTAGCAAGGTTAAGGATGCCATCTTGAATATATTAATTGTTTTCACCATTTGTGTTTGCATAATTGCATCCATTGCAAATTTACCTATAGGGAATTTTATTGTTTGCACCCCTTGCAGGAAGGAAGAGATTATTTCGCTGGCCTCAGAATGACAAAACGTATTAAACAAAGCAACAGGTTTAGTAACACTAACCCTACTCCAAACACCAACTGTAACCATAATCCTTACCCTAACCCTACTCCAAATTTGTTTCTAAACCAATCTTGAAGAAAAGAGTTTTGATGAAATGTCATTCCGAGGTCAGCGAAATAGTTGATGCCTTGTAGGAAGGGTCAAGGGTCTATGCCAAGTCTATTGCTTTCAGTTTTTGAGGCTTAACACCATACCGACTTGGTTTCATTAATGCATTTTTTAAAACAAACCCTTGTGCACTTAATCAGTATCAGGTTTGAGTGATTCAAACGGTGATAGTACCTTAAAAAAGACCTGCTATACATAGGGATATCTCTCTTATCAGGCAAACCCAGCTTTCGCAGAAACATCCCCCATGTTTGAACCTCTTTTAGCATACTGTTCTTATTAATAATTTCATTGGGGAAAAAACATAGGTGGGTGGGGCCTAGCCAGGTACCAATTAGATCATGTATCAAGGTTGTCAGAACTCAGAAGTGGGGGTGGGGCAGCCCCCCCCCCCCCCCCCCACCCCATATTCCATTTGTATGAGCAAACACACACAAAAGAACTAGAAAAGTGCAAAAGCAATTCAAATTTATTCTTGAGACCCCACCCCAATATTGATTTACTTCCTACGGCCTTGTGTATATTCATGTAATAAGTTTTCAAAAATATCAGATTTTCTAAGAAGTCTTTTCTTGCAGGCTACTAAAGAAAACAAGAAATGAAACAAGATGGAATGAATATTTATTAAATTACAGATTTTGATACAAATTTATCTATTGTCTGAATATTATAAAAAGTACTCAGGCCAAATAAAAATAATAGTTGGTTTCAGGTTTCTGACCGACCTGTCAAAAATATGACTGACCATAAACATTTTATTGACATTTCCCAGTAGGGATCATCTTTTCGTAAATTTCAGAATATATAAATAGTCATCATACTCATTTGCTACAAATTATTTTGTTTGCTCATAATTTAATCATTATCTAGACATGTTAATCCTTGATGCGTTTGTTTCTCGCAAAACATGTGTAGCTCGCGGGTGATCCTGAGTGGCACGTCTGATTATGCGTGACAGTTACTCATAAACAACTTATATTTATTGCATACTTGAGATAAAATATTTTTTTAAATAAAATGCTTTTCCCACCTACCTACCCATATAAAACATGGCTGTGAAACCTGAAACCAACTATTATTTTTATTTGGCCTCAGTAAATACAAATATGTACAAATTACTCTACAATGTACAGACATCTGTCACCATTTATTATAATCATATCTTCAAGGAACTTGTAAACATAGTATTGCAGAGATCTGTAAAAAATATCCTTTCATTGTTAACTCAGAGGGAAAGAAGTATTATTTTGTGTAGTAGTGGGATGGATTCACTTGGGGATATTGGGGGAGGGGATTCTGTGTGAAATCCCTGGCAATTATCAAATAAAATAATAAAGTATTGGGTGTTTATGACCTCATAGACAACTTTGTTTTCAAAAGAAATTGACATGCTTGGCTCCTCGTTATTGTTAGCTTAGCTACCCTCGTAACACATCAAGTTATATATGCATGAGGGAAAATAGGTTGTTTCAACTATTAATTCCATTTGCAATTGTTACTTACACACTGTATAAAATTTCGGTTTCCAATTCAGGGATGGATTAACATAGTTTTTTTAAGATTTTATATTATTAAGCTTTGTTAGTTCAGCCCTGACGATAAGTCCATCATGATCTTGAGTAAATACAATCATTGTGTATCATTGATAATATCAAAATATTGCCCAATCCTATTTACTGGTGATGAAGTGGTAATGCTAAACCTGAGAGGGGGGTCTAGGTAAAACACAGAGGTTAAAATAAATCCATAACATGGAGGCCTCAGTGTTCAAAACTCGTAAACCTCAAATACAGAGGACTAACCAAGGAGCTAGAACCTGAGATCCCCATTGGCTAAATAATTTTCATTAAAAAAATTATTCAACATGCATATTTCACATATTGCTATTTTAAGCAAAAGTGAATTTTAAGTCTTACACAGTTGGCCAAAACAAAAACAGTAACTTAATAACTCTTAAGACCAACATAAAATATATTGTTTTTGGCAAAACGGTTAGACGAGGGCGGTTCAGTTCATGTTTCCCCTGAGCAGGACTTCTTGTTGACTTATTTGTTGACATGTTAATTTTGGCGTATATATTTATATAAAATCGTGGAAATTATTCTGCACAATTAAATAAAAATAATCCGTATTATAGAGCATTTACCCAGCTTTTACGAAGTTGTAAATTGTAAAGGTAACATGAAACAATATAAAACACGAAAACCTAATCAAAATCTCGCCTATATTATATTTTCAGTCAAAGAGTCAAGGCATATAATTGCTATAAAATGTCAACACTCACCATCATCGTCTTCAAGAGATAAATATGCCATTAATATCTCTAATTCATCGCACGATTCAGACAAAACACTTCCCATGTACAGCAAAGGACCGCTACCGTCCAAAACATCCTCGATTTCTTCCATAATCGACGATTTTTTAGGTTTTCGAGCAGATTTGCAAGTTTTCGAGTGTTTTTGCAAGTTTTCGAGTCACGATTTCACGGTCCCTCAAATCAGCGCTGCTCAAATTACGCGACCGCGCGTACGAATGAGGGACTGTGGAAGAGTCAGGATTATATATAGACCTCAATAGTTCCATATACATATTTGTCATTGCAACTACAATATGTCTCCGTATTGTTCAGATCAGCGATATATATGTATCAATCCATGCATGATAAAATTCTCGATGAGAATGTTACGACAAAACCTTAACCAATGTCGTTCAATAATGGATGATGCATGTTATCGCTAAAGGATAATGATATCCGTGATGTATGAAAACTTTACGAAATTGTTTTCGGCCCGGATACTATAGGCCTGGCTGCGGTGACATTCAATCATTGCATGACTTTTTATTTATCATGTTTAGGATGGGAGGAACAGTATTTTAATAGAGTGTGGCCCAACTGGAAGGATGGAATGCATAACGACATGAAGGAAATTATTAATGATATTGGTAAGTACAGACTTGAAACCTATAAGTGTAGCCGGTATTATGCAGTTTCAGTCCGATAGCGAAAATGTTACCATTATTATAAGTAATATGCTATTACGAAAAATATGCGAAAAATATATCTAGCAGTTGTTATCGATCAGAAGAATTGAAGCTACATTCTAAATCCTTGTTTTCAGTTGGTGTTGCCTTTTTCTATGTTTTTGGTATTCCTGTAAGTTTTTTTTCTTCTTAGCTCTCGGCACGCTTTTGCCCAAATCCTGTCGAGACAACAACAAATTCGACAAATGTCAAGGCGGTTAATTTTACACATAGAACCGTGCAAAGAAAATTGCTTTGTTCCTTAGGTCTATTACTTCTTGCTTTCTGAGAAATTTTAAAAGCTCTAGATCAGTCTATAGTTTTGTTTATTCTGTATATTTGGCTAAAAAGCAATTGAAGGGCGAAAAAATAAAGAAAGAGCAAGGCAGTGCCACAGATTACAGTCCATTATTGCGTCATAATGCACGCGCATTAGCCAATCAAATCGTCTGTTATATCATACTCGTATTATAAAAGTCAACACCGGCAGTATTTTGAAATGTATGTCATTTCAGTAAACAGCAGACCGGGTTGGTTTGCAGGTTTTCCCTTAGCTGGAAGATATAAATTCATGTCATACACGCTGTTTGCGGGGTTAAGAACACTATTAGAGATAGGGTTAGGAATATAACTAACAGCGACAATCTACAAGAAATGAATTTATAACTAGAACATGACCTGTATGATATTATTATTATTTATAATGTAACCTATGTAAATTGTATTTAGGTACATATTACGCGGACATAACTAAAATTGTCACTGACCAATTGAAAACGTGGTTGAGCAATGCAACCGATATTGATGAAGAAATCAAGGTGTGGGAAAGGTGGATTAACATCTGGAGTCAGTTACACTGGAAAGCTTCCTCCGAAGCAATATTCATGCAATTTATGCAAAGGTTCTTGAAGAAGATCGACAGGATTTAGATGTTGACACCCTTGCTAAACTGTTGCCCTGGTCCAACGATGCAGTGCGAGGTTATGCTGTATTCACCTATACTCCATTCCTTGATAATTCGTTTGTGCAGTATCTTCGTGATCAGCTAGGGCACTGGTGGTCGGCTGACATGCATTGCTTGGTGGGTGGTATGCACAGTTTAGCTGATGGTTTCTTTTCTAATGAGGTGTTGAATACAGACGATCTCGTAGAGCACGCGCAAGCTTTCAAGTTTTCTTATTTGTCCGTACCTTCGCGCCCAAACGATGACTTTGTCCAAGTCTCTTGCTACGCGAACAGTGATCAATCTTCACCAAACAAAACATATACAGCACGGGTAAGTACATTTATGACCTTGCAAATGCCAGAAATAGATTCTACAGGTAAAATTACACACACACGCCTGAATATGACGTCATCCCGGCTAAGGGGCGGACCATTTGACTTTTGAGAGGAGGAGGAGGGGAGGTTGGAGTTGAAAGATTCAGATTGTGCAAGAATTTTTTTCCGCCCAGGGGAACAAGATGGATATTTTTTTCTCTAAGAGTGCAGGGCAAGATATTTTTCCCCAATATATTTCGCGGCAGAAGATTTTCTTGTTTCTCATAATAACGG